TTGTGTTTGCTACCAGCTTCATATATAGAAGTATCACCTTTAATGCCATCCCAAGCCCACTGGGAAAGGAGCAATCAATGATGAGTGGGCAGGTGAGGAGTTGCTGAGAGTGGTTTTGCACTGGGAGATGAGTACTTGCTGCATCAAAGCTCAGAAACCATCAGATGAGCTCTTGCAGGATCAAGCCAAGTGAGATGGCGTCTTTTATGTGGGAAAAAACGTATCTTTTCACAGAAGAGTTGTTTATTACATCTGAGATCTCAGCTGCATCCCATAAACAGAGAGTTTCCAGTATGTCGGAAGTTTATGCTCTAAATATAAGTACCTTAGTTTAAGGCAGTGAGTCTAAGACACAGCATATAAAATCAAGGTAAAATACTAAGAAGAAAAATTATTTGTTTAAGGTCACGAGGCAGCTGAACTTTAAAGCAAAATCATGAGCAGCTCCATTTCTCATTCATTGTGCTCTCTGGCACTTTACAAGGGAATAAATCGATAACTGCTTTAATATGACTGAAAAGATTATCTACCCACTGAGTTGAGTACAGGGTTTCTAAAAAGATTAAAGTCCTCATTTAGGTATGACCTTGAGTTATCAATGGACATTAGGACACATCTACATGCCTTACTTCAGTTCAAAGAGGACTGTAACCCTCTGCTGCACCCAGGACTGACAGGATGCTCTGTGGGAAGACACAGACATCAAGTCACACAGCTTTTGTATGACATAGGCATCTCTGGCTCCTCTAGAATGGTGATGTTCTTTTACACAACACTAATCAGAATTCATTTTTTACAATGAAATATTGGAAAAAGAACTTTTCAGCCAAGCTGCCAGGTATTTTAACCACCATGAAGGTTAAGAAAGAGAAAAACAATCATCTGAAAACAAGAGATAAGAGTTCAACAGGCACAAAAATTTCCCTGCTAGTAATGTGCCTTGGAACTTATCCAGCATTAGAATCTAGTGCTGGATTTCTGTAGCCAGATAGAGCTTTGTCTTTCTCATATGTATCAATCTACTTAATATTTAATCCTGATATGACATGGCATAGAGTAGTGGTTCTAAAAATGAACTCCAGGAGTTCAAATTCTCAAATTCTCGAATTCTGCCTGTCCTACATGTTTGGAAAGTTTACATTAGTCCAAGTATCTTGAGAAAAGAATTTTTTTTTTCTGAAGGTTTGCATCTGTCCAGAGATTTGAAATGTTTAATAAGGCAGTGTGCAGAGATTACATGTGAGATGGCCAAAACTGCAAGACAAACCTAATCTTGGGATGGCATATCACTTCCTGTGTATGTGGTCTCTATGGGAGTGCCTTAAAAATAATACATTTTTTCCTAAATTAAAATCTAAGTCTTAGTCATTTCATGATATATTTAACCATCATTTTTTTCACCTTGCCTGCAAAGTTTACTGAGAGTTCAGCTGTGAAAATAGATCCTGTCCCTATGTCACTTTCCATGTTTGCTTAAATGTATAACCATGAGCCTGTCGAACCATGATGAAGTGGTGTGTAATGGCAGCAAATTTTAAAAATCCATCAATTTCCCCAAGTCAGTGATGTGCAATTTCCACTGCAGTGACCTACTTAACAGAGCTGCAATCAAGGACGAGCACCAGGGTAAAACCATTTACTCTGGGAACAGACCATGCTGTTTCTCCTCTAGCTCCATTCCTGGTGCTTCCCCAAATCAAGACCCAACAGCTTATACTTCCAAAGCAGATCTCACAGTATTTAATTTTCTCCTTAAAATCCCCATTACATGTTTATTGATCAGCATCTGCACTTCCCATTAGCTTCCAAATCTTATACTTTCCACATATGGTTTGAAATCACTAAGCAGATATAGGGATAGCAGCAAGTAATTAAACCAAAAAACTACACTTTGTCCATCATTTTTTTCCCCTGGTGGTCATTCTTGGGTCATGGTTTTTCAGTGTCTGGGATAGGCAATGGATTGCCTGGTAAACAGCTTACTCAATTTCCCACCAAGTGACATCAATGTACATGGCACTGTCAATACTGCTGGGAGGGGAATCAGAGGTGTTCTCCAGATCACCTCCCAGGCATGTGATTTTTTAAAAAAGTGATCTCTCACCTTGCGTTCACATTTGAAACAAATCTTAGCTTTCTACTTTCGCTCCCTCAGGTTTCATCCAAGCCACAGACCTGAAGGATAACACCTTCACTCTCCATTTGGTTTAAAACACAAAGGAGGCTTTCACTGTATCACAAAACAAGTGGCGGGGGAGGGGGGGGGAATGACCTTAAAAGTACAGTCCTGCTAGAAGATTTGCATTAACACTTTGAATTTGGCTTAGGTGTGTCTTACAGATCATGAAATAATCACCAAGTCATGAAGATTAGTTGCCCATTTAAAGTTTCTTCATGATTTAGAAAAACACTGCAGTTAGGAAAAAAAACCCCAAAAACTGGTGCGTATCTTCATTATCTTCATTTAGTACAAGAAAGTGCAATTCTGGTGGGGCCACTGAACTTAGAGCATCACAGAACCATCAAGGTTTTAAGAGACCACCATCATTACCCCAAAACCATATCCCTAAACACTTAACATCATTAACACTTAACATCATTAACAGTATGTTCCTATACTGTTATTTATCCTAGAAGGATCATCTACCTTATTACAAAAATAACCCCAAACAGATAAGAATTTTGAAGCATTTACTCTTACCAACCTTGATGCTGAACTTCAGTTCATCTTAATTACCTTTCCTATTACACATCTCTTTTCTGGATCTTAGTGCCCTTTCTCTTATCTTCGATGGGCCAAAATCAGACATGAGGTATCAAGGACGAAAGCCAATTTTTTAGCTAATAAATGTATGAGATTTTTTAGGAATAGCTAAAGAATTAATAATTGTATTTATTAGCAGATAAAATTTGTTTGTAAAGACACATAAATATTAAGCAATCTTCTATTGTTATTTGCTTTTACTCATGCTATATCCTAATCAATATTTTTTATTTATAACTCTGCCAGCAAACTTCTACATTATGCCCTTTATACACACTAATGAAAGAACACGTGAGTGCTGCAAGACTTTCACATGAACTATGCACAGTTTAATAACTACTTGCATTTGGGCTACCTCAGCTTCCCAGGATACCCCAGTGACAGCACCAATATCACTCAGAGGAGCTGAGGTCACCTTTGGCATTCCAGGTTTTGCTGTTTTGTTTGCTTGTGTGGTCCTTGATGATCTAATCAATTTTAAGAATCACAGCAGAAACTATCACATGAAAACAGATATCACAATAGCACAGAAATCTGCACTCCTGCCATGCATCCAATTCATGTAGATCTGACTTTGAAGAATTGTTCCATAAACAAACACCCTGGCAGAAACTTACTCATTTGAAGGTTTAATTCCACGGTCAGTGGGATGGTAACTCACATGTATTCAGACAGATTCCAGCAGGCTCAAAAGGGGACCTTTAACATACCTTTTTTTCTAAGCCCTTGAACACCTACCTCTTTTTCTCCCTCTCTTCAAATGTTATTCCTCCCTCCCACTGGTAAATAATAAGAAGAAAGCTCAAAGTATGGAGAAAAAAAAAAAACATCCTGGCTTCTTTCTGCCTGAGAAAACTACTTACAGAAATACTGGAATATATAAAACACACAAAAATGGAAGGGAAACCTGGAAGAAGACATGTCATTCTGCTCAGCACAGACCAAATTGAAAACAACCTACCAAAACAAGCCAAGGTACTATTGACCATAAAGCCTATTTTTGGATGGCCAAAGTGCTCTTATATTACAAGCATTCCTGACTCCTGACACTTCACTTTGTGCAAAGCAGCAGTTTCCCAGAGGAAGCTGCCAGGATGAATTAATGGTCATGAGTGGAGCACAGATGAGGAAAGGACAGGTACCAGAGGCCCAACTTGGAAGTAGCAAAGAGTTTATAATTCAGGTAGAGAACACGTGTTTGAATTCAGCACCTGATTTTACATCAAGAGCTGTGGGAGCGCTTCTTGGGTCAAAGGGCCTACACAAGATGTGCTGCAAACCAGGGTTGGAGAAGAGCCAGGAATGTGTTTGTCCTGCTCTCGTGGCCTGGAGGCACCAAAGCAAGGATGCAGAGCAAGAGGGAGCTGTGCCAAATCCCCTGGTCTGGGTTAGATAAGGGTCACACCCAGACATGCACCCACAGGCCAGTTCATGCTTTAGTGGATCTTTTTATGAATGTAGGAATAAATGAAGAAAGGGTCACTGCTTGGTGATGCAACAGGCCTCATCCTTGGAGGGATGAAGGCTGCCCTCTGACTGTTCATTGTCCTTTATCGTCTTTTAATAATTAAAAAAAAGTCCAGTTACAGCACTGACATCTAGCAGTGCAAAAGATGGTTGCAAAAACATTTTGCATTTTGTCTGGACAGGAGAACAACACCGAATACTTTTCCCATCACTTCTGACAAATCTATTCTTGCAACTTAATTTTCTACTGAAGCTGCAAGACAAATATTTTGCTTTGCAGAACAGAAATCATCTGATGATAAGAACTCACTATCTAGGACACGAGTAATTCATATTATAGATTGAGAGATAATTAAAAATGGTAAATATAGTACTTTCAGGAGACTTTGTTCATGCCAGAAACCACACTGAGAGACCTGCAGCAATGGCACAGATTTTCCTGAAAAAAAGGGAAGTATTATATATGTTCATACACTTAATCAAACTCTCTCCAGTGGCTAGCCTTTTTTAAGATTCCGTTTTTAGCTCTTAGGAAATAAGTAATTTTGAAGAATGAGATATGTTAGGAAATATTTATTAGATCTATGCTACTCCTTCATAAAGTCTTTTTTTAAAATGTTTTAAACTATGCAGGTCACTTGAGCTCGACCATAACAAGGCAACAAGACTATCCTTCTGTTCACCACAGAAGAGCATTTAGCTCCCTAATCATGTTGCTTAGTGCATCAGTGCTAAAAAGAATAGTAAAGAATCATCATTGAACTCTTACCAAAGCAGGAATTGACAAAGCCATACCACCTACAAGCATGGTCCCCTCCGATCCATTTGCCACGGATGTTGGATGCAAAACTGAGAGTAGTGCCCGAGATGCACACTAACATGTCACTGACGCTGATGTTCAGGAGAAGCATGTTCACTGGGTTACGCAGCGTTTTAAACTTGCAGAAGAGGATGAGGACAACCAAGTTATTCAAGAAACCAAAAAACAAGATTAATCCAAGAAAAACAGCCACTACTGTGTGCCCACTTCGTGAGAGTCCAGCCCTTGGCTCAAGAGGATGTGCAGGTGCACCGAAGCTCAGGTTATACATCCAAGTGTGGTTCATTTTGGACTTTGTCATGGATCAGTGAGGGCAGAGATGCTGGGTGCCCTTTGCTGAAGCAGTTTCCCAGAAGTCAATCCATCACAGATTAAATCCTCTCAGAAGCCCTGTCATCTTTGCTCAGATGAGATATCTCTTAGATGGTTATGCAGGTGTGAAACGCTGTATTGCAGCACAGGACTATTTTCCTGCGCTGTGTCTTTCCAGGGGTCTGCTCTGCAGTAACTCCAGGGCAACAGAACCAAGTGAAAAATCACCTCAAATTCATCTTTCTTGCTTAAACCTAGGATAATAGTAGATGATCTTTTTTGATGTTCAAAATGGAAGGTATCTTAAAAAGATGCTTCAGCATGGTCTCCTCCTTCAGAGCAGATGGACAGCCCAATCAATGGCAGCTACCCTCCTTCCCTCTGACAATGGGTGTCCTTCTGAAAACACAGAAAAAACAAATAGTTAAGACCAAACAACTCCTCACAGAAACCAAAAAATAAGTACATAATTTATTAACAGCTCCTCCTGTTTTGAACTGGAACAAATTACTCTCATTCTTTTACTCTAATTTTTAACAGAAACATCAGTTTGTTTACATTCCCTTGGATGTTTTAAGCAATTTTTCCCTAGCTCACAGTTTAGCATGGAGAAGGTTGTTTGCACCTTCCTAGCAAAGTTCCTCATGTGAGCAAATGCATGCTGAAACTTATCTTTTGCATCAGCTTCCCAGAAGAGAACTCTATCTTCCTTCACATTAAGTCAATCTACACCAAGTGAAGTTTCATTCTGGGCTTGACCTTAATTAAAATGATGACAAATTTAGGAGCAGAAGGTATTTCTTTACCCAGAAAGAAATATAATAAATGCAGTCCCTCAAGCTCTCATGTGCACACAAAGGTTTGCTGATCTGTGATAACAATATCTCTCCTCCCACATTTACCACTGAACAGATGTCTTCCTTTATTATTTACAAAGCAGCCAGACACCCAAAGGCTCACATCTCTCCTATCACAGGCATAAATTTTACCCACATGGAGTGAACACATTGCTTGTGTGCTTTGCGAAACAATAGTGTTTAGTGTGGATTCACAACTACATAGCCTACCTTCTCTGCAGTTGCAGGCAAATCCTGCACAGAATTTTCCATAAAAATGGAGATGTGTGTGTATGTGTGTGTATATATAATATATATATATATATATATATATATATATATATATATATATATATATATATATATGAATTTCCACACCTCAGTGCAAAATGCATGATACCCATAGCTTGCTGGACTAAAAAAATTTGAAAGCTTCTCTTTCATGTGTCATGTACTCCTAGAATGATTGCACACATGTTAAAATGGAGCATCTCCTATATTACTCCTAACTGTTGTTTCCTGGAAACTGTCTCATAGAAAAACATGTATTTAGCAACTGGAAAATTGTGAGTTCAGTTTACTGAAGATTCAGAGGTTGCTTGCTTTTTTCTTTTATATCTTTGTGTCATGATAAGAATTTAGAATAAGTACTTTGTCTTTCTATTTCTCTACTTTCACAAATTCACTGTGCTAAATGTTACAGTGATTTTAAAGTCCAACATATACAAACTGTCTTAAGGTTTTTTTCTGGTGAGTAAATTATGTACACTTCACAGATCTTCTACTGTTTGGTCATTGAGAATCTGAAACACTGATGCTTTCTGATTTTTTTCCTTCTCCTTTAGGAGGTACATGATAATTTATGTTGGAAAGGGTCCCAGGTAGCATATGTAAGAGAAAGGACTTTTTAAGTCCTCCTCCTGCAATTTAAAAAAAAAAAAATCTCCTATCCAATTCTGGTTGCAGGTTATAGAAGGAAACTAACTGGGCCTAACCATCAGTATACCCAAAATTGTATATAGTGTTAAAAATAATAGAGTGAAAATTTAGTGGAACAAAAACCAAATCTCAAAAATACTCTTCTGAGCATTTCTCCCATGCAAACAGCCTGAGATAGTTGGGACTGTTCAGCCTGGAGAAGAGAAAGCTCTGGAGTGACCTCGTTGCAGCCTTTCAGTACTTAAAGGGGATTTGAGAAAAATGGGGAGAAACTTCTTAGCAGAGCCTGTAGCAAAGGGGTAAGGGTTTAAAACTGGTTAATTTAGGGTCAATAATGAAGAAGTTTTTTATGACAGGGTGAGGTGAAACACTGGAACAGGTGGCCCAGAGAAATGTTAGATGCTCATCCCTGGAAGTGTTGAAGGTAAGGTTGGACAGGGCTCTGAACAAGCTGATTGAGTTAAAGATGTCCTTGCTTATTGAAGGAGGGTTATACTAGATGACCTTTAAATGTCTGTTCCAACACAAATGATCCCATGATTAAAAATTCAGCTCAAAATATAAATAATAAATAGGTCTATTATACAGTCATCCTGCATTCTTAAAAACATATCACAAGTTCATATTTTTAGTGCTTATAAAAGGACATTTACTCCTGGATGGGACTCAGCTGATTACAATTTAGCAGTGTAACACCAGGTGCAGGTCCAGCCCAGTGTCCAGGTCATTTCTCCACTGGCCACCACTCACACAGCTTTAGCTTGGCAAGTCCTGCCCTGGTGTGTTGGGAAATTATACTTTAATGCACAGGCAAGATGAGCAGGTCCTGAAACTTCAGTGTAAGACATATTTTAAAACAATATTACTTGATATCAAAAGATGACAAACACGATGCACAAAGATGTCCTTCAAGAAGTTTTGGGTGAATTTAAGAGACAAAGGTCTGCAGAGGAAGACATCTGAAGATCTGGGCTATCTATGAGTAAGTCTCTTTTTAGGAGCTCATGTATAAAGTGCTAAGTTTTTTACACTTATGGATGAGGGAAAAACTAAATTCAGATTTCAAAAAAGCTTCTAAACTCCCATAACTAATCCCTTGAAGAATGGATCCAAGTTTACCTAATGATAGCATTTAACTGAAAAATACACATTATTGTTGAAAAACACTTGTAGATGAGTGTTGTGCTCAAAGCTTTTTTGTTCATTTGATTTTCCTTTTTTTTTTTTTTTTCCTCCAGAGAGGTAGCTTGGTTTAATAGAGGTTACTCTGGAACTCTATAAACTCTGTCTTACAGGTGACACTCTGCACTCCCCAGGGCTCCATGACCTAGAAGGACTCCCTGAACCCTCCCAGTTCTTAGCAGGATGCTAGGAGCTTGCAAAATTGCCAATTCTGCTTCTCAAAAAATGTTTAAAAACCCCAAAACAATAAAACCGACAATTCCATCCAAGGCAAGTAAATGAGCATCCAGTTTGTCCCCTTGAATTTGTCTGAGTTGACAGGGAATGGAAAACATACTCAAAGTGATATAAAACATATGGCCAGGTGAAATGGGCCAAAAGTTTGTTTAATGTCACCACCAATTAAATCCTGCATCTGTTGACTGGTTCTGACAGTAAAAGTCTAAAGATACAGCAAAACACACACCCATCACTGCTTGTATATTCTCTGAAGTAGTCTGTTGGAAAAAAATAAGGTTTCAGAAGATGTTAGATCAGCTTCTAGGAGCACAGGCTTTAATACTGAGAATGAGAGGCTTCTTTTCACACTTGACACCATGCATTAGTTTGGGCAGTGAATCTGGTTTGTCTCCTTTCTCACTTTTCTACCAAATAACTTATTGAACACATTAGCTTCACGGGTTTCCAGCTGGGAGATTCTTTACCATCTTCTCTTGCAACATTGTGCAACATGCCAAAGATGATGCTTAATTCACTTTAAATATTTAAAATCTGAAGAAAAGGCATAAAATAAATAAAATCAAACTTCATATTACTAAAAAACCTTATCCTTTTCCATCATATCTACATTGTTCTCTTGGGATATAAAGGAGCTATAAAAAACCCTCTTATGTTTACACATCCACATAATCTAAATCAACTCATTGCTCACTTCATATAAAAATCAATTTTAAAATAGTTGTTTTCCTTCATTTAAGAACTTGTATTTCTAATGAAAAGTTAGATTAAAAAACAAACAGAAAAAACATTCAAGCAAACCCCTCTACATAACATTTCAAAGAATCCCAAATGAAATTTTATGAAGAATCACTTTTTTCACCTGCTAACAGAATTATGACAGCAGTAGTGTATTTTTAAGTTGACATACATTTAACCTTGTGTTCCAGATGAGAAACTGAATTGTTTTTAACAGAAAACATCCAAAACCAGAGGTACCATCTGAAACAATTGTTTTAAAACACAGCTGAAAGATGGGAGTCTTCATGGGACTTCACAACACTGAAGTCAGAATTCCCATCTGTTCTGGACTATTTTTCCATGCTCCAAGCCACACTGCAAGATTTCAAGAGATCCAGAGAGATCTTTCGAGCTAAGCTAGAAGACTGAGAGGAGGTTCTATGGTTCAGAAATTTGGGTATCTCCCAGCTCCCAAAACCTCCAGTCTGTGCAAGAATCTCCTGAACACAGATCAGCAGACTTAATTTCAGCAGTTCACGTTCACGACAGAGACAGACGTGGAAATGAGAACAACCTAAGTACAGAACACATGCGATGAAGTTCACACGTTTGAATGCCGTACTATTTACTCAAGGGGAAAATCTAAGTGAGGCAAACCCATGCTTTTGAAAAAAAAGGTACTTTCATTTAGTATTTTGAAAGTTAAGGCAACCCCTCTTACGTACGAAGAGGAAGTTTATGCACAGAAACATCTGCGGTACGCGTAGATGAGACAGACCCACTCCTGAGCTGGGCTGAAGTCATCAGAAGCGTCCCAGAACCCGAGCCGGGATCGTGGCGGCAGCGAGGACTGAAAGCACCTCCCGAATGCCCGGGTTCACCCCAGGCTTCTAAACACCGCACCAAGCGAAAGCCTCTCCAGCCAACCTCCGCGTCCTTCACTAACTTTTTTACACTTCTTTGGGAGGGGAGGGGAGGGTGGCACAGTACCCTGGAAGAAGAACCCACCTGTATCTTTCATCCACAGCAACCCAAAGGGAAAACGCGCACCCAAGTCTGCGGCAAACAAGTCCCG